TCGTTTAGTCTTGTAACTGCAAGTGATTGGATGCAAGAGCTTGCACGGAATGGTCTTGCGGAACATGAAATGGTTTTAAGCAATGAACTTGTGATCGAGTGCATGGATACTGAAAAATCAAATTTGAAGTGAAAATTTAGCATCCAGTATTAAAAAAATGGTTTCGAACGAAAAGTTCACAAAAACCCAACTTCCCAATTCATTCTTTTTAGAAAGCGTTAGTCCGATTGAAGTACAAGAAGCTGTCCTATCACTTAAAACCAAAAAAAGTCCTGGTGTGGATGGTATCAAAGCTGAGCATTTAAAAATAATAGCCTACGACTTAGCCGAACCACTTTCTTACGTCATTAATTGGTGTTTCCAATCTGGAATTTGTCCTGATGCATTTAAAACAACTGTTATTACTCCTGTTTATAAAAGCGGTGACAGAATGGAAACATCAAATTATAGACCCATATCAGTACTATCGAATATAGCCAAAATTTTCGAAAAATTACTACAAAAAAGGATATTGCAATTTTTGGACAAAAACAAAATTATATGTTCTGACCAATATGGATTTAGAAAAGGAAAATCTACTATAGATGCAATTTTGGCTGCAATGGATGAAATTAACTCTAATGTCAACAAAAAGATACCTATAGTCAACGCCAAACAAAGTGGCGTGCACGTCATCAAGGTGGGTGTGTTGAAAAATTTACATTGTTGCCAAACTTTTTGTAAAATAATAAAATTTATTATTTACATATCTAGGTTTATAAGCAATATTAACCTCAAATGAGAACAGAAATAATAGTATAATAAAATTATAGATCTGTACTTGCATAATCATTAAGTATGACAATTATTGATCAGATGACACTATGAAACTACCATATTTAATTGATAGCTTAAAGGTACTGAATAAAAATCCAAATGGGGTCCTCCAAATTTTATGCATGGTATTTATTTTACAGAATTCATACAGAAAAATGCATTCTAAAATTAGGTAAGCTACTGGTGTAAGCTTTTTCTGTACAATAAAGTTAGTCGGAGTTTCTTTCTTCAGCGCTGTCTGAATCTGAATCTTCATCACTCTCAAAGTTGATTATTAAAGGTTCGATGTCTGGTCGATCAAAAATTCGTTCTCTTTCATACCATTTAAAAATTTCTTGCTCAGTATGTCGAACACTATTTTTCCACATGTCTGGGGTAACCGTTTGTAGAGCCTCGTTCCACATATCCAAACAGTCTTTTTCACTGTTACCATCTCTACCAATATGTCTGTTATAGTAACCTTTTGCTATGCCCCAAATTAACTCAATAGGGTTAAATATACAATGGTAAGGAGGCAGACGAAGAACTTTGTGCCCATGTTGTTCCGCCAATTCATCAATCACGTATATTTTAGGTGGTTTGTTTCTAAAAAGCAGTTATTTTAAGAATAGGAATAAAGAAAAGAAATATAAACTGTCGACCAAAATATATATAATTAAGAAGCATTATGTACCGAGCAACAATACTCAATAGCTCTGTTTTAAACATTGTGTTTAAAAATGGTATGTTTTGATTTGTCAACCAGTCTTGGATATTTTTTTTTGTCCATGCATTGTTGGGCACTTTGTTCAATATCATGCTGTGATAAGGGGCGTTATCCAGTATAATCATAGATGGACTCTCCAATTTTTCTAATAACTGATGTTGAAACCATTTCAAAAAATTGTTCTGGTTCATCTCTCCATGGTAATCGCTCAATTTTGTTTTCGAAGAAAATATCGCTTCACTACCCTCAATAAACCCATTTTCATTTCCAGCATGTAATATAATGTATCTAAAATATATTAGTTTTAAATTTTATAGTGCAAATTGTGTAAAAGTACATACCTTTTACCATCTGTTTTAATAGCTTTCACGCTTTTTTGGTTTCCATTTTGCCAAGAGCGACCTATGGTCCCATTTTGAAATATCCAAGTTTCATCGAGGAAGACAAACTGGTATAAGGCCTCAACCTTGGCTTGATTGCATTGCCTTAGAAATTCCACCCTTTTCAAAGCTATACTTGGTAGTTCCATGAGCCCTCGTCGCGGATTGTCCTTAAGCCACCTAAATCCAAGATCTCTAAGCAACCGCCTTAAAGACGTGGCACTACCATCAAATAATGCCCTATCTCTTAATCGAGACCATAAAGTTTGTATCGTAACTTGTTCTTCTGAAACCATGTGTAATATGACATTATAATTTAGTTAACAAATTAATGCAAATTTCTGATAAGTCATTATAATAAGATCTTACTTTTGTGATACATATTATAGATCACTTCTCGAATGGCACTTGTATCCAATGTCGCTGTGTTGGTTACACGTTTAATATAACTCCGCTTTTTCTAGGGCGATTCTAAATTTGCATCACTTTTCACACCCTCGGAAATACGACTAACTGTCCTTAAACTAATTTTTAAAGCAGCAGCAACACGCTACAAAAAATGAATTAAAATTTCACTATTATTAATATACATTACATATAATTATTAGTAACCTACCTCTTGAACAGCATTTAAAGGCAACAAAGGCCCGTTGTTGTCCCTTTCTTGCTCAAAGTAGTGCATTAACGAGGCCACGAGTTCCTTACACCGACTATTTAACTGTTTGGGCATCTTTATATACCAAAATTGCCTTTATCTACTCGTAAAATGAATAATTTTGTTTTGAAACAAACAGTTGTTGATTTACAGTATGCGGGGCCAAAGGATTTATAAAGATTTGAAATGCCACAAATTGATTCAGTGTCAAAATTAATACAAATGTCAGTTCCCAGTTTAAATAAGTTTCAAGGTGACAATGTGTCAACGCTGCGAAATCGGTTTAGTGCGTTTACATGTCGATAAGTGATTGGAGCGTTTGCAAAACATTTTATTTCGCATAATGCGTCTAAATTTATCAGAAAGCAACTTATGTGATATTTTAATAACAATGTTTATATGACTATTAACCATAATAAGAGAGTAATGACCATTTTACAATTTATATATCACATTAATATGAAACTGCAATAGAGCAATTGTTTGTGATAGAAACCTAGGCATTAGGTCGGGGAATTTTTATCGTGATGACGTGCACGCCACTTTGTTTGGCGTTGACTATACTATTGGTATCTTTGTTGATCTAAAAAATGCCTTTGATACGGTTAACCATGTCGAGCTTCTGAAAGTTATGGAAAGATTGGGATTTAGGGGAGCGTCACAAATCCTTTTAAAAAATTACCTTTCAAGTCGGGCACAGACTGTCAAAATCACTAACACTTACAGTAAAAAAATGTACATCAGGTGTGGTGTGCCTCAAGGAACAGTACTAGGCCCACTATTATTTAGTCTCTACTTAAATGACTTATTCAAAATTAACAGTTCTGGAAAGATTATATGTTTTGCAGATGACACCCTCGTATTATATAAAGCTGATGACTGGAGCACACTGAAGCAAATAGCTGAAAAGGATTTTATAAGGATCATTGACTGGTTTGATACTAAAATTTTAACAGTTAACTTCAAAAAAACAAAATTTATTGCATTTACATCCTATTCAAAATTTTTACCTACCTTCGAACAAATTCCCGTTAATTATCATGGCCAAAAGACCAAAATCGATAGAGTTAACACTTTGAAATATCTTGGAATATTTATAGACTCACATCTAAGGTGGTATAACCATATTAAATATGTTATCAAAAAAATTAGAAATGTTGCCTATAAACTCAAAATGCTTGCTAACATTCTTACAGAAAGTTATCTGCGAATCCTATACCATGCCTTAGTTGAAACCCATACAATATACGGCATCACAGCCTGGGGTGCCGCCTGCAAGACATATATTTCTGACCTGAATATAGCACAAAAAACTGTTTTGAAAGCCATTTTCCATAAGCCAAGATTATATCCAACGAACAACTTATATCAAGAAACAGGGATACTTGATACAAGACAACTTTATTTCTTACATGCCACCACCTTATACCATAAGTATTGTAATAAAAAGAAAAAATCCTATAAACACGAGCATAACACACGATTTCGAATAGGCTCATCTAATATCCAAAGACCACACAAAACATTCTTCAAAAAATCATTTAAATTCTTAGCGGCTAAATTATATAATGTAGTACCAAACGAAATAAAGATACTTAATTTTGGAAAAAAAATTAGAAGAAAATTGAAAGACTGGGTTAGTAATGTGCAGCGAATGACTATACATAATTATATAGAAAACTAAAAGTACAAAATTCCAATTACATTAATACCTTTTAGATTTAACAATAATTGTTATACACATATATGATTGATTGTTAGTTATTAAGACATAAACCACACACAGGCGATGCCTTCTGTGGTTTTTTCATATTTATTTGCCCATTTTTTGTATTTTGGCGAATAAATATTATTATTATTATTATTAATTAATGGCGCTGTAATTTCCTGAATTGAGAATTTTTGATTTTGTATTTTCAAAAAATTCATGAAGAAATTATCATATATAATCAGATACGTTTTCTGCAGGAGAATTTTTATTACTAACTAACCCGAGAAATCGCGATTATTCATCGCATTTTTGTTAGGAGAAGTTAAATTTCCCCCCAAGGTAAAATCTAAAAACCCTTGGTAAATAATAAATGTGCTCATTCACGTAGAGCTTTTCTGGCATGTTGGACATATAATTGTCATTTCTATTAAAACCTGTATTCATTTTTGGATATACTGACATAAATTTATTGTTGTTTGATTGTATTTATTTCATTATTTTTACAGCCGGAAGTTGCATGTTACTTGACACATTGGTGTACTTGAAAATGAGTGTGTCCACCAAGGTATGTAATCTACTATTTTTGCAGTAGAGTATTTTTTCATATCAGGCTTATATCTGACCATCGTGTATTTCAATATTGTTCTTTGTTTGTTTTAGGTATGTATGAGGGATGTCTTTTAAGTTTTGCATACAGAAATAAAACAACACGGTAGGTAGTTTTAAATGACTTTATTGTCTTTCGAAGTATTCTCCACGAAGATTAATACACATCTGCATGCGCTTGAATCAATTTTTGAAGCAGTTATTCAACACGTTTGCTGGCAGATCCAAAACGGCATTTTTGAATGCGTCAACTGCTTCTTCTGGTGACTGGTACCTTCGACCACGCAGTCTGTTTTTAATTTTCGGGAAAGTAAAGAAATCGTTAGAACTTAGATCTGGACTATATGGAGGATGGTAAAATAGTTCCACGTTTTCTTCCGTTAAATACTGCCTTGTTTTTTGGGCTGTGTGGGAGCTTGCATTGTCTTGGTGGAGGATGATTCTTCTTCCGGGGTTGATTTTTCGAAGCTCGGTGATGACTTTTGGCAAACAAATGGTGGTATACCAATCCGCAGTAACAGTTCTTTGCTCATTAAGAGGAATTGTTGCAATATGACCCGCTTTTGACACAAATGACTTTTGTTGGCTTTTCTTCACCTTGGAACACCCAAACAGCCGACTGTCGTTTCTTTTCTCGTTCATAACAGTGCATCCATGATTCATCACCACTAACAATGCTGTACACATTTTTTGAGTTTCCGGAATTGAAACGGTCAAGCGTTTTTTGACAAAAATTAGCTCTGGCTGCTTTCTGGTGTTCAGTCAACAGGTGGGATGTCCAACGAGAAACTAATTTTCTTACTCCTAATTCTTCATGTAAAATTTTTTGAATTGAGGTCTTTAAGATCTTCAAGGACGCCTCATTCTCGCGATATGTCACATGTCTATCTTCAATGATGAGTTTGCGCACAGCATCGACGTTTTCCTGGGTGACTGCCGTTTTTGGTGCACCCACCCTGGGATCGTCGCTAAGACTCACCCGTCCACGTTTGAATTCTTCATACCAACGGGAAATTGTCAACTGATGTGGCGCTTCGTTGCCGGAAACAGACAGTAACTCAGGCATTGTTGCGATAATTGTCTCTGAAAGTTGTAATAAATTATGGCGCGAAAATGTTCTTGGTTGAGTTCCATTTTTCTAATGACTTGGTGACACTTAAAAATTCACTGTAGTGAGAACACTGCACGTATTGTTGTGAAACTTTGAATTTAAGTTTACTAAAGAGTGAGGTTAAGATTCAGTACTGACGTTCGATCCGCGCGCCCTACTATGTTTCTATATGCAAAACTTAAAAGATATCCCTCGTATAGATTCCCTGCATTAACTACAACTGTGAGTATTCATAGCGACGGATAAGCTTATGTTTTACCTATATAAAGCATAAAGCTTTAATATGCTAGCACAAAAAAATACCAATACATCGGTACTCATAGATGTATAGTGATTGTGCCTGGATACTCAATTTAAGTTTTTTCGATACAGTATAAATAGGTTTGAAGCTCATATTGTCATGTGGCAAAACAAGACATGCATGATAGTTTTGGCAACACAAATACTGCACACGATAACCTATAATCCATTTACTTCTTATTACATAGGTGTCAACGTTAACTGCCTATTAGCATTCACGGTTTGAATTGTGCTGTTCTGAGACAAATCATTTCTTAGGAGAGCAAGCATTTCATTACTTAAGAAATGCTTTCCTATATTTGAGTTTTGAGGATTTTTCAAAAGTTAGTTTTCTTAACACTACAATTTCTGCACTTTTTCATAGCTGAGGCAGAGCTAGGAACATCTTCAAAGCACCTGGTGGACTGTAAACTTACTTAATATATAGAGGTACGATTGGTCGAGCGTCAATTAACAGGTTTATTATAAGCAATTATCGAGCGACTTTATCTGTGCACGAGGCAATTCCGATGAAAATTCGTTTTACGTTCAAGTACCACAATTCCGTGCTTACTGCAGATCGATATGGAAGTCTAATAAGGCAGAACGTAGATGAGTTGATTAAAACAAAAATGCTTTCCTACATCTGAAGTATGATAAGCTTTTGTACCTATTTCTTGAATAAAGTGGCTGGGAACATTTTAGAGGTACATATCTAAGTCAAATTTCTCTTCTTTTTGGGGATACAGGTATCCAAAAAATTCTGGATTCACACAATGAGAATCTTTTTTAGGTGACCAGATACCGACTCGTCCTAACGCAAAGACATATGTTTTTTAGATGTGTCTCCGTCTGAAAACCTTGTCGTTACGTATGAGTGCCCTTCAATCATATTTGCCAGAGTGACAACTTACTTGACATCGGGGTGCAATTTTAGTTGCAATTTAAAATTGTACAATGCCTGGAGATACGATCAATGGAGAAGGCCGGCAGCTTGTGCTAAATTTATTAGCACTTCATGCATACTAGAGAGAGTAGCAGATGCGCTGTAGCTTAAGATCCGCTCCTGGTGCGGAGACTCGATCTGTTAACTGATTTCATATGGCGTTGATGACGTAACCGCCAATAACGGTGACTACAACTACAGCCGAAAAAAGACATTTTTGTAAACTCTAGCCTTTTATCAGGAAAAAAGTATTATTGTTTCATTTAGGGCGTATCGTCAGTCGTTCCTACAATTGTAGGACGCCTTGATGGCCTCCTTGATTTTCATAGTCTTTTTTCTCATTTAGAAAGCCTGTGGTGTTTCTAGATTTCTACTGTTCCATGTTATTATTATATATATATTTTGAATTGTAGAAAATTCCGGGCTGATAAAAATCAAAAGCATGTACAAATTTTATCCAAATGGATATTTGTAACATAACCTCAAAATAGGGCGCTGACACGGAGCAGTAAAAAACTATGAAAATCAAGGAGGCCATCAAGGTGTCCTTTAATTGTAGGAACGACTGAAGCTACGGCCCTTAGATAAAATGAACCGTTTTTGATGAAACTAGTATTGTTTCAATACTACTCAAATTGGTTTACACTGCAGTCAATCCTCAAAAAGGTGTATGAAAGCCTTTGTTATCTATGGCAAAGTTTATATTGGGCTGTTTCTCGGGTCGTTGATCACGAAACTGTTATATAACATAATGTTTTAACGATATCTTAAATTAACTTGCATTGACACTATTGTACAAGGTTTCCGCTGGTTATTATAATGTCAAAATTTCTTTGATTAATACACTATTGCAGATATCTATTAGGTATGAATCCTAAAAGAAATGGCGTCAACTAGGTTAGATTATGATATCTTCAGATCTAACGCCATATGAATTATGATTCAAAAGAAATATATCAAAGCAATTATACGTGAGATATAGAGTTTAGTCAAATGCGTTAAATTTACTCATGATACTTAAAAAGATACAAAAATAGATATTGTAGATAGATAGATACATTTATTGTCTTGTAGATCATAAAAAATGACACATGACTCTTCCGAAGAGGAGACACATAGCACACATAACAGGAACAACTTAAAGGCGTACAGACATACACATATAACTTGTTTTAATGTGATCTATCACAGAGCGAGGGACTCAGACAGAAAGTAGACATTTTTCAACTAATAATTGTTTTAGCTTGCGTTTAAAACTAGTAATGCTACTGACATTCCTGAGTCTGTTATATATTCTGATGCAGGTGTGTTTTCGTTACTTATTAAAAAGCGTTAACGTGAGTTTTGGAATACTCTGACTCTCACCTGCCCTTATATTATAATGTGGGTTGATGTTTTTGTTCTTTATAAATTTTACTAATTTCCGCCAAAACGTGGTAAAATATACGCGTGCGGCCTATGGCCTTTCTGTACATTTGCAACAAACGCCTGACAATTTACTGATGTTTTCGGGTAGTGAAGCGGTGAGTGAGACTTAAGACGTGTTAGAACTTTTGATTATCTGATAGATCCACAGTTTTACCGAGATCAGACGCTTCTTGATACCAATACTAAAGATGTGACATTTACAATCTTCTATATCCTACAGTCTTCAATTTTCAAGCCCCACACAATTTTTCTGAAAATAATCGGTCGTATGAAACGTCAAACGACAAAGTTTGAGCGATTTTCATTTTTGTAGGTTTTCGTCCGTAGATCCATCATCACCGGATCTATTTTAAAAAACTATAAAGATTTTTCGCCCTTGGAATAATAGTATCCTTGTGTCAAAATTTCATTTAAATCTGATGACATATCAAAGAGTCACTGCCGCCTAGAGTATGACAACTTAATAAGCTGTTTTCCTATTCGCTTATTTATAGTTGATTGTTGCGGGGAAATAGACTACAGGGTTTTAGTGTTGGCGTTCGAAGTTCAGCTAGGTGCCTTATCAACGGTTATTAGAAGTCACAGGCCTGCCAATGAGCAAGAATATTTCATGATGCTAATCGTCTTGCTCATAGAGTAAGTAGTAGTGATGGTAGTAGTAGCGGGGAGGAAAATTCTGACAACTAGGCCACCTTCTACCTTTACTGCAGACCCCGTAGTACCAACACCCCCCCGTACTACTCCCTGAGCCATCTACTGGTAACTGATATAATAAACCAACTTCTGCGATGATATGTACCTGTTTATATTGCACCATGTGCGTGACATAGATCACACAACATTCACGGCAAGGAATGAACTTCCGTGGCGGAGATTCGACCCGCGAGCCCCGGGTTACTAGCTCAACGTGCTGACCACCAAGCTACCGAGGCTCCATGGTAATCGAGAAATCTCAGCGGACCAAGAGCATAACTGTACGGAAACAGACAAGTATGATAAAGAGAGGATTTGTACTGCAGAAAATAGGTATTGTTGATTTTTAATATTACTCAAAGAGATTCTTGTAAGGAAACGTTTATCCGATACAATCTGCTCACAGTTCCCCTACCCCCTGTATCCCCCTATAGCCCCACGGTACCCAATGGGTGTTTAGACCTTAGGCCTTCGTGGTAGTTGGAGTATAAAATAAAAGTAACAGCACTATATATATATATATATATATATATATATATATATATATATATATATATTTAGAAATGCTCTATCTTTGAATTTTGTCATAGGAATAAATTCACACAAAACAGTACAATCAACATCTGTTACATCACAAAAAGTTGCTATGATTTATATGTCCTGGCACATAACTCTACCTTATTTGAGAGATTTACAATCACTTACCTACAGATTTCAGAAGAGCCACCAACATTAACCTAAATTTTGTTGACGCATGCCCTCACAATCTAGCCGGCTATTTTTTATCCGAAACTTGTATACCAATTTATTTTGTGTGTATTGTATGTATGTTTCTTTATGTATCTTGAATGCGATTGTTTAAACGTCTCCATTTTATATACTCTTAAGTTTACCTATTTATATATCTAATATTGTATCCAAAGTTTATTTAATATTCTTGCTAATGTAGTAGCAGAAAATAACTTGTTTCTTTTTAGTTTGAATTGCACATTACTTTTATTGTGTCTTTATAATGTACACCATTTTTAAATGATCAAAACCATTAATTATCTATCTCTCATTTAGTGGCCAAACATTGAGAATTATCTCATATATTGAGACTCGTTATACTTACTCCCCCGTTCGTAGTAGCTGAAACCAAAGTTTAGTGGCCTTCTTGGAATTTATTCACAAGGTATTAGAAATTCTCAAATGGCTGGGTAATGGTATACGCCTTCAAAACAACGTGAACTTCATTACGAATGTGTAAAAGCTCATAAATTCCTATGCATTGGTCAATCTGCAGGACCGTATTGACCTCTGAGTAACGACCACTTAAGAGCAGATCGATTATGCAAATCACACTCGGGCTACCTGCCTGTCTTTAATGGTCCGCAAAATACAACCTAATTAGACTATTATAGTATTACTCTGGTTAATTGACTGGCAACACTTCATCTTGATAAAAGTACTACTCTTTGTTTTTGAACGATGGCAGGTTTAATTTTTTCTGTACCTGTATCATTCTGAAAAACATGGTGGTTAAGAGTGATGTCTGGTCTGGTCTGTCTTATATATAGCCTGCGATGTTACATTGAAAAGATTGAAATAAGTAGGATGAGTCGACGGTATTAACCTATCTGTGTCTAAGTTATAGACATATAGTGGTTTTTGAACGGGAGAAGTTAGCAATCTGAA